CGAGAGACGCATTGTTTGTCAGATCTGAGCCACTCGGGGCAAACCTATTCCTGCTGACACCATCTCACTACAGGCAACGCCCTGGCCACGTACTTAAATTATTATTTTAAACAGATCTGTTTGGTGATGGTGTTGAAGATGGGCTGGAAGGAGGCAAAGTGGAGGCAGGGAGGCCAGTCAGTCAATGTTCATGAGTGGCCAGCAGAAGATGGCAAGGCCCTGCATCTGGGCACGCTGGGAGGGGTGGAGGTAAATTGTGTCTGAAAGTTTACAGGAATTTTGGGTCAAGTTATTACATCAAGCCAATTATCTTCTTTCCTACAGAGAAACTCTTTAAATGACAAGAAATGTTTTATATTTACAATATTTGTATATATGTGAGAGAGAGAGACGGGAGTATTACTGACTAGTATGTAAGTAAATACTGTTAAAAGATTGTATTGTTTCTGAATATTGATCAATACAATACATTACATTAAGATGATAGGAAAAACCCATAGTCATCTCAATGAATGCAGAAAAAACATTGGGAAAACTCAATGCCTCTTCATGTAAAAATCTCGGGGCTGGCCTGGTGGCTGAGTGGTTAAGTTCGTGCACTATGCTTTGGCGGCCCAGGGTTTTGCCGATTTGGATCATGGGTGCAGAGCTAGCACTGTTCATCAGGCCATGGTGAGGTGGCATCCCACATGCCAAGCACTAGGAGGACCCACAACTAAACAATATACAACCATGTATTGGGGGCAATTTGGGAGAAGAAGGAAAAATTTAAAAATCTTAAAAAAATAACTCGTAAAAGCAGGAATAGAAGGAAACTACTTCAACATAATAAAGGCCACATAGGAAAAGCCCACAGCCACCATCTCGTTCAATGGATAAACACTGACAGCTTTTCCTCTAGGATCAGGAACAGATAAGAATGCTCGCTGTCATCACCTCTGTTCAACGTAGTGCTGGAAGTCCTAGCCAGAGCAATCAGGCAAGAAAAAGAAACAAAAGGCATCGAAATTGGAAAAGAAGAAGTAAAATTATTTCTGTTTGCAGATGACATGATTTTACATCGAGAGAACTCTACAGATTCCGTGAAAAACTTGGTAGAACTAACAAACAAATTTATCAAAATGTCAGAATACAAAATAAACACATTCAAAGTGGTTGCACTTCTGAAAACTAACAATGAGCAATACAAAATGAAATTAAGAAAGTTATTCATTTTACAACAGAGTCAAAAAGAAGAAAATATTTAGGAGCTAAATTAACCAATGAGATGAAAGACTTGTACACTGAAAACTACAAAACATTGCTGAAAAAAGTTAAAGATAATCTACATAAAGGGAAAGACATCCCATGTTCACAGGCTGGAAGATGTCAGTACTACCCAAAGTGATGTAAGACTGAATGCAATCCCTATCAAAATCCCAATGTTATTATTTGCAGAAATAGAAGCATGCATCCTAAAATTCGCATGGAATCTACAGGTCCCCAAACAGCAAAAACAACCTTGAGAAAGAAGAACAAATTGGGAGGTCTCACATTTCTGATTTCAAAACATATTACAAAGCTATAGTAATCAAAACAGTATGGTAATGGCATAAAAACAGACTAATAGACCCATGGAATACAATTGAGAGGCCAGAAATGAAGCCTTATGGATATGGTGAAATGATCTTTGACAAATGTTCCAAGATGACTCACTGGAGAAGAGACAGGCCCTTTAACAAATGGTACTGGGAAACCTGGCTGTTCACATGCAAAAGAATGAAGTTGGACCCTTATCTTGCATCATGTACAAAAATTAACTCAAAATAGATTACAAACCTCAATGCAAGGCCTTAATCTTTTAAGCTCTTAGAACAAAACATAGGGGAAAACCTTCATGACGTTGGATTTGGCAATGATTCGTTGGCTATGACACCAAAAGCACAGGAAACAAAGTAAAAATAGACAAACGGGGCTATGTTGAAATAAAGAATCTGTACATTAAAGGTCTTAATCAGCAGAGTGGAAAAGCGACCTATGAGATGGGAGAAAGTGATTGACAATTTTCTATCTGATAAGAGGGTACCATCCAGAATTTGTAAAGAATTCCTACAATTAAAAAACCAATAACCCAATGAAAAAAAAGGCAAACTGCTTGAATAGATATTTCTCTAAAGATGATCTACAAACAAAGAAGATGCTCAACATCGCTAATCATTGGGGAAATGCCAATCAAAACCACAATGAGATAAGACCTCACAACCACCAGAATGGCTCATGCAAAAGAAATTAATAAATAACAAATATTAACTAACATGCGGGAAATCGGAACATTTTGGCACTGTTGGTGGGAATGTAAACTGGTAGGTGACTATGGAAAATATTATGGAAGTTCCTTCCAAAATTGAGAGGTGATTACCATATGATCCAGTAACTCCACTAGATATCCAAAAATATTGAAAGCAGGGTCTCAGAGAGATGTTCGCTCACCCATGTTCATAGCAGCATTTTTTGGGGGAGCAAAAGATGGAAGCAACCCAAGTGTTCATCGATGGATGAGTGAATAAAGAAAACATGTTATATACATATGATGGGATATTATTCAGCCTTAAAAAGATGGAAATCTTGTCGCATACTCCAACATGGATATATTTGAGAACATTGTGCTAAGTAAAGTAAGCCAGCCACAAAAGACAAATAGTGTCTGATTTTACTTCTCTGAGGTGTCTAAAGTCGTCAAACGCATAGAGACAGAAAGTAGAATGGTGGTCGCCAGTGGCTGGAGGGCAGGGGAAAACAGAGCTGTGGTTTGAGGAGCAGGGAGCTCCAGTTTTGCAAGACGGAAAAGTTGTAGAGATGTGTTACACAGCAACGTGAAGATACTTAGCATTCCTGAACTATATGTTTAAAATTAGTTACAACAGAAAATGCTATTTTTTACCACATTTAAAAATTTTTAAAGTTCTTAAAAAGATAGTAGAGAATCAGATTCGAAACTGGAGGAGTCCCTTGGGGCCAGCCGGGTGGCGCAGGGGTTCAGTGCGCACGTTCCCCTTTGGCAGGCCGGGGTTCCCCGGTCGGATCCCAGGTGTGGACATGGCACTGCTTGGCCAGCCGTGCTGTGGTAGGCGTCCCACATATAAAGCAGAGGAAGATGGGCACGGAGGTTAGCTCAGGGCCAGTCTTCCTCAGCAAAAAGAGGAGGATTGGCAGTAGTTAGCTCAGGGCTAATCTTCCTCAAAAAAAACCAACAACAACAAAAAGAAACAAACAAAACTAGAGGAGTCCCCCCTTATGTGTAGGGGATGTGTTCCAAGGCCCCCAGTGGATGTCTGAAATCGTGGCTAGTACGGAATCATATCTGCCATGATTTTCGCGTACATACATATATAAGATAAAATTTAATTTATAAATTAGGCATTGTAAGAGATGAACAACAGTAACTAACAATAAAACAATTATAACAATATACCGTACTAAAAGTTACCATAGAGCTTAGCAACGTCAGTATAGGATTTCTTTTCTTTCCTTATTAAGCTGAGAACTTTCACCTTCTCACTTAAGGGAAGCACTTTCCAGCTTCTCTTTGGCGCATGCGAATTGCCAGCATGCCTACTCTCATGCTGTAGGCTCATTACTAAGTAAAATAAGGGTGACTTGAACACAGGCACTGCGATACCTCGACGGTCTTGATACGGAGACCATTAGTAAGTGACTGACAGGCGGGTGGTGTATGCAGCGTGGATCCACTGGACAAGATGAGGAGGCACATCCCAGGGGAGGGGGACAGAGCAGGACCACGAGAGAGCTCATCACACGACTCAAACAGCACGCAATTTAAAACTTGTGAATTGTTTATTTCTGGAATTTGCCATTTAATATTTTCAGGCCATGGTTGACCACCCGCAACTGAAACCTTTGAAAGTGAAACTACAGATCAAGGGGGACTACTGAACAACAGGGTCTTGAATTTTAAAGTGTTTATTATGCGCTAGTAAAGGGAGACATATTAAGGAGGCCAACAAGCTCTGAGTCCAGGCTGTGGGCTGGGTCCACTGAGCATGAGGATGGAGCTGTGAGTGGGCAGCTCAAGCCTGAGGGTCCGGGCTCTCAGGGAGTGTGGGACAGAGGGCCCGGGAGCTGTGCTCTCCCCCAGGAGATTACACCTTCTCTTCCCATCCCCCTGCTGTCTGCTGCAGCCACCAGGAACTTCATCCTTATTCAGAGATGTCTGTGCCGACAAGGCACCATTTGCTCTGGTCACAAGGAGTCAGGACATTGTCACCTGACAGACTGAGTGGTAAAGGGTCAGATGAACTTTGGATATCAGGCATTCTTGTTGTTTTATCTGGGGCTCCCAGCTGGTGGCTAAGGGGAGAACCCTGGGACAGGAGCATCGGAAGCAGGAGAGCAGGTGCCCTCTGCTGCATGCAGAGGTGGTGAGCACCAGAGAACAGAAGAAATAAGTAGATGAACAGCTTGGCTGTTGACTTGAGGGGGAAGCACTGTCGTGCTAACTCACCCTAATCAGCTATGATGACACAAGGCTGTCACCAGGAAAGGGGCAAGGCTGAGCACCCTAAATCTCCACTTCTAAGTGCTCCAGGAGAGAGTGCTGAGCACACATTTACATTAGATGAGGTGATACAGTGAAAGGGGAAGGCCACAGAGTCTGTCTCGTCCATGTACCTTCATTGGCAGATGTTGGACTTGCGTCCCATTTCCTGTTCCAAACACTCTGCTCATCGCTCTGCCCATTGTATTACCTAAACTTCAAGATTAGGGTCTTGCTCCATCTGGACCATTAGTTGTCCGGTGGTAAAGAACATGCCTTATTTACTTTTACATCTCACACTTGCAATGCTGAGTCCCTGATATGCTTCAAGAAGGGTTGAATGAAAGGATGGATGAAAGAATGAATGGAAGAGTGAGATATGATTTCCTAAATCCACACCCAGTGTCTTCTTCTGAGCCCTCTTGTCCTGCCCCCCAGAACCCTCTGTCTCTCTGGCCTTCCTCCTTCACATGGCTGTGTGTTTCTGCCTCAGCCTCCCCAGGGCCTCCTTCACGTCCTTGTTTTGCAGACTGTAGATGAGGGGGTTGAGCATCGGGATGACCAGGGTGTAGAAGACAGAGACCACCTTGCCCTGCTCCATGGACTCAACAGCTCCCGGCTGGGCATATGTGACAAAAAGGGTTCCATAAAAGAGGGACACAGCCATCATGTGGGAGCCACAGGTGGAGAAGACCTTGTGTCTCCCAGCTCCTGATTGCATCCTCAGGATGGTCACTGTGATGTAGCCGTAGGAGACAAGAACCATGAGTGTGGTGCCCACGACGATGAGCCCACAGATGCCAAACATGACCAGCTTATTGAGGGCTGTGTTGGTGCAGGCCAGCCGGAGCAGAGGGAGCATGTCGCAGAAGAAGTGGTCGATGTGGTTGGAGCTGCAGAACGGGAGGCTGAAGGTGAAGCCGGTCTGCACGATGGAGTTGAGGCAGCCTGCACAGTACGTGCCCAGCACCAGGCGGGTGCAAGCCGAGGGGCACATGGTGATGGGGTAGCGCAGGGGGCTGCAGATGGCCATGAAGCGGTCATAGGCCATCACAGTCAGGAGGAAGCCCTCGGTGGTTCCCAGCAGGGAGAAGAAGAAGAACTGGGTGGCACAGCCCTGAAAGGTGATGACCTTGGACGAGGAGAAGAAGTTGGCCAGGGCGTTAGGGGCGATGACCGATGAGTAGCACAGGTCCAGGAAGGAGAGGTTCTTGAGGAAGAAGTACATTGGGGAGTGCAGACGCGCATCCAGGGTGATGACCACGATCATGGTGAGGTTCCCCAGGACGGTCCCCAGGTACAGGGCCAGGAACACAGCAAAGAGCAGGGCCTGGGTCCCCAGGCCACCCTCAAACCCCTCCAGCACAAACTCCTGCAAAGGCACCGCTGAGACGTTTCCATCTCTGTGGGGTGGCATTCTGAGCCGGATGACACAGGGCAGAGAGGGGGCCGGAGACAGGGGGAGCAGCTCAAGGTCACAGCGTCACACCTCCCATGCAGCACAGGGACCCTTTGGTCACTCGCTGCCCACTGACCAAGAGGCCACCAGCGGTCCTGAGCTTGGACTGGCCTGAAAAGGAGACATTTCCTCTGATTCTCTAATTCGTAAATATGCGTGGAGCACTCACTCTGTAATAGACTCTGAGCTGTTGCTATGGCGTGGGGTGGGGGGAAGGGGTGTGCAAGGAGGCTGGCAGAGCTGAATGCCCACTGTGTAAGAGTGGCCTTGCAGCCCCCTGTCCCTCCTTCTGAAAGAAATGCTCTCCCTCCCCACAGGATTCTCCTGAGATGTGCCATTTCCACACCTTGCTCAAGTCCCTAATCCTGCACTTTCTATGCCTTAATTTACGAATTCTTTAATTTCATAAATCTTTATTGAGCATCTCCCGTCCACCAGAGCTTGAGCTGGGTGGTCTTTCCATCTCCAGGCCAGGCTGGAGGAGCGCAGGGACCAGCACTCACCAGGATAATGTGGCTGCTGTCTGTCTGTCTCCCCTGCAGACCCTGAGCCCCACCTCAGCATCAATGTCTAAGTCTGGAGCACGGTGGCAGTCTGTTAGCAGAGGTCTCTGCCACCTTGAGGACCTCTTCAGGCTTCCTGCCAATGTGAGATGTTGGACAAATCATCAGAAGGGACAGCCCAGCTGCATGGTCTGAGAAGCAGCAGGACAGAGGCTGTGACATTCAGGAGATGGACATGACTTTGTTCTTGCTCCCGGCCCCTGCCCCTGCCCCTGCCCCTTTGAGGTTGATTGTTTTGAGTAGTGAGAGCTCTCAGCATGGTCACATCTGCTTCAGTCTCTGGGTCTTCCATGCTCAGGAGGGACATTGGTAACCAGTGGTGTGTGAAGGCCAGTGGAATGGTGGGGGGCCACCCTACAGAGGGAGGAGTCGGGAAGGAAGGTGGGCACAGGGCCACTGGTGCATCCAGGGAAGGGAGGAGGATTAGTGAGGAAGTGGAACCCGGTCTCAGAGCAGACTCCACACTTTCTAGAGGTCAGATCTGTGGCATCATGGAGCCAGCTGCCTTTGGAGGGAGTGAGCTCACTAGCAGTGGAGGTGTGCAAGCAGAGGCTGGTCGATCAGTGGTGCACATAGAGAAGGAATCACCCCCACATTCCCTCTCAGCCTGGAGTTGTCTTGGAAAGTGGTCTGTGACAGCCCAGACATTCCAGCAAAAGAGGATGTGGCTGAACGGGAGAGCTGTCCAGCTTTACTGTCCTGGGACACTAGACTCCAACCCTTGCATGACAGCAGAGCAGGACAGTTGGAGCTGCGATGCCCAGGCGGGGGCCCCTCGAAATCAGGGTTGGAGTTGGGTGCTGAGAGCGAAGTGGGGTGTGCCCTGTAGACTTTCAACAGTAGCCCCAGTGACACCCTGGCTAAGCTGCTGCTCCTGCCACCCACCCCTGCACATAAATGCCCTGCCCTGTCCTGCACATACACACATTCATGCGTGCACACACACATCTGTGATGGTCACGCCACCCTCCTCGCCGCTCACCCTCATGCTGTGCTCACACACACTGGGGGCCACTCTGAGCAGAGTGACCATCTTCTACTCACCACTCGTAAGTCAGTTGACTTTGCGCCTGTGCCCCATGGGGTTCCCATCTTCATGTTTCTGTGGCTGTTTCCCAGGACAATCTGTTCCCCTCAGGGGTCTTGGGTCATCACAAGGATGCCTGGGCAAGCACCTAAGGAGAAATTGGCATTTTCATCTGTGAGGCCAAACTCACCATTTGGTTTTCAAAAAACAAACTCGCACATGCCTCTGGCTTGCTGGGAGGACCTGGGGGGGGTGCTACGGCGGCTGATCAGGAAACCTGCCTTTGACTTAAGCCTGAGGAATATCTTCCCAGGTGAAGCAGAAGACCCAGGGTTGTCCGCAACCCTCCATCTGTAGCGACTATGTTCTGCATCCCTTCAACCTAAACTCTCGTTGCTCAAGTGTGGTCCAGGGCCCGCAGCATCAGCATCAGCAGGAGCTTGTCAGAAACGCAGAAGCTCAGGCCCACTGAATGAACACCCGCATTTGTACAAGACCCTCGATTGTCTCTGCTCATGTGGAAGTTTCTGAGGCACTGTCCTGACTGACCCAGGCCAGGGCAGTGGGGAGGTGGGGATGGCGTTGCTCAGGACCCCGAGACTCACAGCGCGATGCTTATTGACCTAGGCCCTGCTGAGCGCATGGCTGCACTGCTCCTGTGGCATCACAAGGGGCACGACTCACCCAAGCCCCTGCCCTCCCAGGGTTGCCCCAGCTCCTGCCCCAGGTCTGCCCTCCCCATTCCCCTCCGGCTTCCTGGGCAGTGAGTGACAGTGGGGAGGGCACAGAGGGGCACCTGGGGTCCCAGTGAGGGTCTGGCCTGGTGTTCCAGGTCCTGACTGCAGGATGCCCTGGGGTCTTGGTCCAAGCAGGGGAGGGGACCACCTGCTGCTCCACATCTTGTCCCGTCAGCCAGGCGGCATGTCAAGGTGTCTGCGTTTTGGGGTCACAGCTGGGGAAGATCTCTTCACCTGGCACAGCTGGGACTCGGGCCTCGAACAGCCAATTAGGTGAGGTTGTTTGTGTTTGTGTCTCAGCCTCTGCAGTGTGCTGGGAATCTCAGTTCTCCTGGATCCCCTGTCGCCACTGTTTTCTCTGATCCCCTGTCACCTGCGGGGCCAGGGACGAAAGCCCAGAATCCCTCAGGGCCCCGGAAGAGACAAGCACGGAATCTAAGAGCAGAGCCCACGGGCCTCAGTGGACTGTCCCTCAGGGGCAGCAGGTGCGAACTCCTGGGTCCTAACCACCCCCTAGGCCACCCTCTCCCACCACATCCCCGCCGTTTGGTTGAGGAAAATTGATCTAGTGGGAAATTCCCGCCTTGGGGAACTGGGTCCCTCTCTTCTACTCTGGGTTCTGCCTCCCAGAGGTCCCTGACCTTGGGGAAGTCACTCTCCTTGTAATGTATCAGCCAGTTAACCAAGATCATCTCTGAACTCCTTTTTACGTTGTATTTATTGCCAATGAATGTATTTAGAATTCTCTGTTTTTAAAAAAATGAACAAATGAACATCTGCTTGGAGAGACCCAAGCACTAAAGAAGTGACAAAGTGAAAAGAGAAACTTATTCCTTTTAACCCTCGGAAAGCTTAGCCCTCGTCCCAATGAGGCTGACTCCCTGCGGACGTGGGCGCATGCCCGTGGGTTTTGTCTTATTGGTTTTACCTTTTCCAAAAATTGCATGACAACATTCATTCTGCAATTTGATCTTTTCTCTTAACTCCGTACCATGAACATCTAAGTCAGCTTTTCTGCCTTATGGGTATATTATTATTTATTTACCCATCATATTAATGAGCCTTGACGTTATTTTTTTCCTATCATAAGCAGTATTGCAAAGAACGCTCATTATGTCTTCATGGTGATATTCCTATGGGCTAGCAATGGATTTCTATGCCAATTCCCTGTTTCACTCCCAATAATTGGTGTAATTTCTTCCTCTGCCGTTGGCACATATATCTCCCCTCACCGGTACTTAGCATCATCAATCTTCTTAATATTTATGCATCTAACGTGGTGTGATGGTTAATTTTATGTCAACTTGACTGGCCATGGGGTGTCCAGATATTTGGTCAAACATTATTCTGAGTGTTTCTGTGTTTTTGGATGAGTTTAACATTTAAATTAACAGACTGAGTGAACCAGATTGCTCTCCCTAATGTGGGTGGGCCTCATCCAATCAGTTGAAGGTTTGAATGTTGACTCTCCCCCAAATAAGAGGGAATTCCCCCTGCCTGGCTGCCTTCCAGCTGGCAGTCAGCTTTTTCCTGCCTTTGGACTCTTCCTGAGTCTTGAGCCTGCCAGTCTGTGGACTAAAACTTACATCATCCGCTCTTCTGGGTCTCCAGCTTGCCAACTGCAGATCTGGGGACCTGTTGGCCTCCATAATCACGTGAGGCAGTTCCTTATAACGAAACTCTTTCTGTATATGTATATGCACATTCTGTTGGTTCTGTTTCTCTGAGAACCCTTACCGATACACTAATACTAGCATTTGCATTTTAGTGAGCCTAAATTTATTTGTTAGTGTGGCTGAATATACTTTTGCATATTTGTTGGCCATTTGTGTTTCTAATTCTGTAATTTGCTTCTTTACAAGCACACAGGCTTTCCAACAGTGATGCAATCCTGCCTGGGCACTGTGACCCCAATTAGACAGGCAGGGGAGGCTGAACCCTGACCCCATAAGGTGCCCCCTTCCCTGCAGACCACAGCCTCAGGCCTAGGAGCACCGGCCTGATAGCACCCTGTCAATGGGGTCAGTAACCTTGCACACTTGCTTTCCCAATGTGGGGCAGAGCTGATCACATTCATTTTATTTTTTGGCTTTAAAAGTCCTACCCAGACTCATCCTGGACTAGATTCTAGAGCCAATGCTGGGCCTGCTTCCCTGCTGGGCAAGAAAACTTTCCACACAGCACTTAATCTTTGCTCTCTCAGTCTCTACTTTCTCTTTTATGATAATGTCTAATTTTTCTATTGCATTGCTGAGCATTTTTCTCATTGACTTTTGTGAGCTCTTTACATATTGCAGACCCTGTGTATCTTGTGTATGTTGCACACAGCTTTTCCAATTTGCTGCTGGGCTTTGACTTTGTCTCCAGGGCTGTCATATAACTTTCTCCAGGCACACCCCTGATGTCCCCCTGGCCTCTCCTTGGAGACAGAAGGGTTTCTTCAGGGCTGACTACCCTCTTGACCACACATCAAATTAACAGAACCCAAACCCTTCCCACATGGCTTTTCTCATACTCTTGGAGTTTTTACTCTTTTTTTTTTTAACAATCAGATTGTTACTACATCCAGAATTTATATTTGTTTGTGTTGTCAAGTTGGTGTTAATTTTTTTCCCAAGCATAAAGTCAAAGTTTATTGAATATTTTGACCTCTCCATAATTTCTTTTACTTCTAATTATAACTTCTGG